GGGAGCATCGGGTTCCTGCCCGTCCTTGCTGCATTCACTGGCGTTGCTGTCCACTACGGTTCTCCACGTCACAGCGGCAGTATCTCTCGTCGTCAGACAAGTCGTCATGTCTGGGGGATTTGTTCAAAGCTAAGCGCGCCAAGCTGGCCCATCCAAAACATTATCATTATCGTATTGTGATAGCAGTGCTTCTTATGTTCAATCCGCTCCGGCAACCTGTGTCGGGTCAAACAGGAGATTATATGTACGCTATTCCAATGTGTTGTGTCACGAGAAAAGGAAATCCTTGAGCCCCGGAGACCCAGAGAACTCGGGATTGAGCATAATACAGCTACGGCGGTTAGCCATCGTTTTCCCGACATGTACTGCTGGTTGCGAGCGTCAGAGAGGGGGGGGGGGGGGGGCTGGGCTGAACATACTTGAGGAAGTATTGGAGGCCCTGCCGCCGCTTGTCGAGGAACTTGGGTCTAAACTTCGATATCACACTTTTCGGTGGGAGAGGCGGAACGGCAGCCTCAAAGTGTGGGAATGTCATCATCAGCTTCTCCCTCAGATCGTCGAATTCGGAGTAGCGCTTGCGGATGTTCATGTAACTTCCCTGGAGAAGTGGGCAGTTCCAGTCAGTACACCATCACATGCCATCTGTCTGCTACAGAAAAGGGAGGGACAACTGACCCGCAGCGTCTCGACTTTGATATTCCAAACCACAAAGGCACCGATGTTGGTCGCGCTGCCGTTGATCACAACGTGATCAACAATCTCGACGCTCTTCGCCCAACAAGCCTTATTGCGATGGTCGGGGTCGCTGGCCTCGTGATCTTGCATGGTGATGGCGCCTGCTGGCAGGACAGACTCGGCCGACATGTTGGATATGGACCTTTGATGGGAGTGGCTGTTCGTCCAATATGGGGGTGAAGTGATGGACGCCGGACTGGTAACGGCAGATGCCCACGTGTCCGAGTCGTCGTGCGCGGCGTCGTCGTCGTCAGAGCTCGGCGGGCCATTGGCAGCCGTCCCGACGGCATTCGTGGGAGTCGTGAGCTTGGTGCCTGAGCCATTGCTGGCTCCGCCTACACCATCATCATGGCCAGTGCCGTTGCCAGTGCTGCGGGCCTCCAGGTCGGTGGCGGGGTCCATGAAACCATGCAGAATGGCAGTGTACCGAGCGTTGGAAGAAGCCCGAAGCGTGCGTCGTGGCTCTCGGATGCAATGTCAAAGGTTCGTCTGGGCGGAATCCGAAGAATCGGGAGAGCCTCGTTCTCAATCTGCGCTTCTCGGTACGCCGTGCGGCAGCTGTAATAATATTGTTGGGGTGTTCAGGCGCAGTCGTAGTCGTGCGGATCTGATGGTTGCAATCGGTGATGCGGGACTGGTCAATTGAGAAGGATGGGTGATGGCCTTGCTGCCCGGATCGCATGGAAGTGAAGCTTTCTGACGAGTGCTTCTGGAAGGGTTAGGCCTGATCCCGGTTCTGATCCCAGTCGTCACAGCAGGCAGCGTGGCTGGGTGATGTGATCGCAAATGTTCTGCAACCAATCCTGCGCGCTAGCTGCCTCTCCATTGCGTCCCGTCATGAGGAATGGTGGGGCACTAGTACTATCAGCATCGCGGGGCAGCCCTCTGATGCTACACCACCTCAGGAAGCATGCCAGTCCCATCCATCAGGGAGGACATGTTCAGGTGGACCCGATGACGGCGACCATTGTGCATCGGGACACTTCAGTGAAAGTTGATGTGCGAATGGCAAGGTTCTTTCTGGCTCCTTAGCACCAGTCTTTGCCCAGTGCTGGCAATTATCCATGGCATGGATGCCTATTGTCGAGTTTCTCCTCTATCCACGAAGAACGGCGATTTGCAACATTGAACCTCGACCTGAGGCAAGCATTCAGCTGCCCAGCCAGCTCTGTAGACAACAGCTCATCGGCATGTCCATGGTCGAATGACTTCAGGGCTCGGGTCTTTGTCCGCACTCAGATGACGCCCCGGTTGGCGGCAAGAGGCGTCCGCTACAGCTTGCCCGCAGTGGGCC